CGGCTGCCCCGGCCCGGCCAGTGCTGCTCTGCAGTTCCCGCACCTGTTTGCCACCTTCTGCTGCCTGGGCCCCCAGGGCCTCCAGCACTGACTGTTGCTTCTGCCTCTTACTGCTTCCTGTGCCTGCTGGAGGGTGCGCCCAGGGACGGCAACCTCCTCAAACCAAGGCACCACGCTGCATCCCAGTTCAGAACTAGTGGTTAACAAAGAGTCCTATAAGAATGCCCATTTGCAGGACTGAAAATACACAATATTGATAACTGGCATGATGCTTAATAACAGCATAAATGAAACACTGCACTCCCAGACTTTATTTAAGGGGACTTCTGCTGCTGCTGGGGGTGCAGATTGTGGATGGGAGGCTGCAGGAGTCAGGGTTGAGGTGTATGGGGGCTGGGGTGTGTGGGAGGTGCAGGAGGCAGGGCAGGGTGCTGGGGATGGGAGCTGAGGCTGGATTACTTTACCTGGCAAGGGCTGGGCTGCAGCACCGGGGCAGGCTCCCCCCCGCCTCATGCCACAGCAGGAGTGGGGCTGCCACTAGCCCTTCCTGCAGCCAGATGTGGGCTGGACTAAAGGGCCTGCCCTAGGGTCAGGGCTAGGGCCAGATAGAGGCTGGACCCCAACTGGTTCTTTGTTGGCCAGGCCTCATTTTAAATAAAGTAAAATATGTCCAACACAAAAGGTTTCAACATTTATCTTTATTTATGGCAGGGGTGGGGAACCTTTTTTGGGTCTGTGGCCATTGGCCCACAGAAAAATCAGTCAGGGACCACACAAGTGAGAAGTTTAAAACAAAAACCCACCCTCCAAAACCCCCCAACCCTCACTGATGTGGCACCCAACTGAAATATCTCACATCTTACTCACCCAGTGCTCCAGCCCCATGGGGGAAGAGAGGGGCAGGGAAGACTGAGGTTCAAGGCCTCAGGCCAGATATTCTCTTCTGGAGTTCCAGGGTTAGTGGATTTTGTGGCCTCTCCTAGACTTTGAGGTGGGGCCAAAAATGAGGTGTTCAGTGTAGAGGACAAGGCTGCCAGTGAGTGGGATGGGGATGCAGGATCTGGGCAGGAGGTGGGGGTGAGGATGGGAGGTCTGGGTGAGACATGGGGATGTAATAGTGTAGCTGATTAACCTTTTAACCAATAAGCAAAAGCTTATAGGTTAATGCTATAGACCAGTGTTTCCCAAACTATGGGCTGCACCCGATACCGGGCCATGGGAAAAAAACACTGGGCCACAGCATGGCTGCCGGGAGGGGGGCAGGGCTGGAGGGCTGAGAGGAGGTGTGTGTGGGGTGCAAACTGGCCGCCAGGAAGCAGGGTTGGGGGCAGTGGGGCTGTCTGGTGGAGATCTTTTTTTTATATGCGTTTATATTTTTGGGCTGCAAAAAACAGTACTGAAAAAAAAAACAGGTTCCAACTAAAGTAAAAAGTTTGGGAAACCCTGGTCTAGCCAGCTTTCTATCTTGGGACAGGCAGTTAAATACAGGCAGTCCCCGACTTACGCGGATCCGACTTACGTCGGATCAGCAGTTACGAACGGGGCTGCCCCAGAGTACACGGACTGCGGGACCTCGCGGTCCTGCCGCCCGTGTACTCTGGGGCTTTCTCTGCGTCTCCCTGGT